ATAGACTTACCATTTGACCCAGGAATTCCACTTCTACGAATTTACCCTAAAAATGCAGCACTCCACTTTGAAAAAGACAGATGCACCCCTATGTTTATTGCAGCACTATTTACAATAGCCAAGAAATGGAAGCAACCTAAGTGTCCATCAGTAGATGAATGGATAAAGAAGATGTGGTACATATACACAATGGAATATTATTCAGCCATAAGAGGAAAACAAATCCTATAATTTGCAACAACATGGATGGAGCTAGATGGTATTATGCTCAGTGAAATAAGCCAGGTGGAGAAAGACAAATACCAAATGATTTCACTCATCTGTGGAGTATAAGAACAAAGGAAAAACTGCAGGAACAAAAGAGCAGCAGACTCACAGAACCCAAGAATGGACCAACAGTTACCAAAGGGAAAGGAACTGGGGAGGACGGGTGGGAAGGGAGGGATAAGGTGGGGGAAGAAGAAAGGGGGTATTAGGATTAGCAAGTACAATGTGGGGGGTGGGGGAAAGGGGAGGGCTTTGCAACACAGAGAAGACAAGTAGTGATTCTACAACATCTTACTATGCTGATGGACAGTGTAATGGGGTTTGTGGGGGGGACCTAGTGTAGGGGAGAGCCTAGTAAACATAACGTTCTTCATGTAATTGTAGATTAATGATAACAAAAAGAAAAAGGCAGGGGTTACTCCCTGATAGGATAAAATTAACGGTAAATCAACAATTAATGCATGCTTTACATATCCTTAATTTTGATCTTTTAAAGGGTGTCAGATGATCAGCTATGTAAGTGCATTTTTCTGATAATATTTCTTCCTCTCTAAAAAAAAAAAAAAGCAGTTCCTGTGTGGTGGTCTCCAATAGGTTCTTCACAATGGTATAAAGGTCATATTAAAGTGTGGGCAAAGGGTTTGTTTGTGTTTTTATAGAGGATCAAAGCCTAATTTGGCTACCCAGAAAGCAAATTAAGATACAGTATGAAGAAGAACTTCCAACATCAACATCCTCTGGAAGAGCCATTCCAGAAGATGACCATCAAAAAACTTCAGCAAAGATCCTGGCGCTGTTGCAGTTGTAGCTGCTTTCATCCCGCCAGTTCCTGGACTTGCCATTGGAATGCAGACGGAGATACCTAAGCTGGCCTGTGCATACAATAAAACAACAAATTTGACTAGTTCTATATTGTCGGGACTCAACCAAGAATTAGGAGGAGTGCGAGTTGCAGTGCTTCAAAATTGTGCTGCTATAGACTATCTATTGTTAAAAGAACATATGGGATGTGAACAGTTTCCAGGAATGTGTTGTTTTAATTTGTCTTATTTTTCTCAAACTATTCAAAATCAGTTAGACAATATCCATCATATTATTGAGAAGTTTTCACAAATGCCTGGGTTACCTAACTGGTTTTCTTGGTTTCACTGGATATAGCCAGTAATTGTAGGTCTGCTTTTGTTATGTATCTATATTCCTATTCTGTTAATGTGTGTACACAATCTAATTAGTAGTTTGTTAAAACCTATACATGCTTATGTTACTCTACAAGAAGTTATGTCAAAGAAATAATCAATCTTCTCATGTTTTCTTCTGTCTGCTACTTCTATAGCTTTTCTTCTTCCTTCCTAATTACAGCCTTTAGTAGAATTCGTGCCTCATATTTTAAATTACCAAGTATCATAATTCTTCCAAGTGGTAAAGATACCTCAAGACAAGTGCTGGGCATAGAAGCCACAGGGCATAAATCTGCAAAGAAGTAAAAAGCTAACTTTTTCAAAGAATATTGCTTCTCTCTCACTTACCAAATTTACATTTCCCTGTATGGCCCCGGAAGACAGCTGGTTAGCCAGAGATGGGTAAGATTCCTCAAGGGAGGAACAACCTAAGATACAGTCTCAGGGGGGCCATCAAGTGAGAAATTGGGGGTCAACAGAGGTGAGGCTTAGAAACTCACCCCCTCTGTTTTGAGAGAAATCTTCTGCATCCGTGGATGTTTTGTTGCTCTTGTCTAGCTTGGATTAATACTTAGTCTATAGGCACACACCTGATCATCTACACTTGCCTTCTTACAGCACTAACTTACGCTTCTTATCTTTATCTTGCATCTACCTAACACTTCAGCATTTTATTTTTAAAAAAAGGGAGAAATGTGGGATTCACATATAAATCAAGTATAAAAATCAAATGAATAATCATATCTGACTTGATTGTTTATAGTTCATGATGCGTGATCAAAACCGAAAGTTTCTGTGATATGACTGCCCTTGCACTGTTCACCATGTAAGAACTTATTCACTATGTAAGAACTTGTTCGTTATGCTTCAGAAGATTGGAGACTGTTGAGAGTTAGGCTTGGGGTTGATTAATGATTGTGCATTGAGTCCCCTATACAGAATTTTATTGCTGTAAACAACCATTTGATCAATAAATATGAGAGGTGCCCTCTCAAAAATAAATACATAGATAGATAGATAGATAGATAGATAGATAGATAGATAGATAGATAGATAGATAAAGATAAAGTTGCCTGACTTGGTTTACTCTTGATATAGGAGATTGTGAGGACTTTTCTTCTTTGAAAGTAATTGCCAGAAAAAAAAATTCTGTGCTTCATGGCATCTTTGTCATCAGATGTTTGATTACTTAAGAAAACTGAGTCTTAATATTAAAGGAGGTAACTTTTGCAAGCAACTGTTGAACCTATATTTGTAAAGTCATTAATTGTCATTTTGGTTAAATAGATAACTAAATATTGTTTGACAGTGATCCTATTCAACCAAGTGTTTAAAAAAAATCAACCTATTTTTGATACTTCCGACAAACTTCCCAAAATCAAATTCTCACTAAACTAAATAGATTCATTTAATATGTTAAGTGGTCTGAGATACATTGCCGAATAAGAAGTAGTACTAAGCCTTCTGCATGTTATATTTGCATAGGTATATAACTGGTCTAGATATTATGTGGAATTCCTAGAAATCTGATACAAATTCCTAGAAATCTGATAGGTCCTGGTATAAAGTTATCACCTGTATTTATTCTCTTACCTTCTGAAATTGTTGTCGTCAAAATTGAGGCTCACACTAAAAGGACTGACCTGAATTAGGGAAATGCCCCTACTGATTTCCTGCAAACTTTCAGGCAGCGGCAGCAGGATCTATAGAAAATTGTGGCACATGTGGATAAAGTCCATTCTGCTTCTATGAAAAAAAGAAAGAACTTTTTGTTGCCAGACTTTTGCCATCCTAGTATCCTTAAAACATGGTAACAGTCTGCTCCTCAATCAGAGAAATTAACATGGGTTAATAAGTATTATAAAAATCAATAGATAGTCAAAACTACAAGAGACCCAAGATGGTTACTCAGTTCTTCTCGGCTCCCTAGTAAATTCTGTTTTTACCTTCCTCCTCTGGACCCTTTGAACAACTGCAGCTGGACTTCACTCAGTTGCCGCTCAGTATGGATTGTCAGTATGTTCTAGCTTTTGCATGTATGTTTCTCGATGAGTTGGAGCTTCTTCTGTTTGCCATGCCACCTCTGTGCCTAAAATACTGATAGAGAAAATTAATCAACTTAGGGGACCTCTTCTGCTCCACATAGTGATAGGCTACCTCATTTTACTGGACAAATTATCCAGCAGGTATGTGCTATCTTGCCAATATTATATTTTCATTACATGTACCATCCACAATCCTCTGGGTTAGTAAAAAGTATAATCAGAATTATAAAGACTCAGTTAGCCAGATTCTTGGAAGTCTCCAAAATTCCTTGGTCAAAAAACCTTACCTACAGTTCTTTTGAATCTGATATCCACTCCCTTTGGAAAACATAAGCTTTCCCCTTTTGAAATCATAACAGGAAGACCTATGCATCTTTCGCTGGTGGCCTTAGACTCTCCAGTTATAAAAGGGGAAATCCTTGCTTATTTCCAAGATCTTATTAAAGCTATTAATAAAAATCACTCTTTGGTGAAACACTATTTTTACAGTGGCAAGGAGAGTGATCTTCAGCCCCACAGAATTCAATCTGCAGGTTTTGTGAACTGAAAAAGACATCTCCACAAAAATTATTGAAAACCCCATTGTTAGATTGTTAGGATCTCTTCCAAGTACTACCTGTGGATCTCTGTGAAGCCAAAATCCAAGGAATTGGCTCCCGGACCTGCACATCCTACTTAAAAAAGGTTAACCCACCCTAATGGTCCGGCACTTGCATCTCCTGTCTCAAACTCAGCCTCGCTAGGAAGAGAAGCCACTGACATCTTGAAGTCGCCTACTTGCACCCAAGAGTCCAGACCAGGCCTGTATATTCTGAAAGATTCAAAACCACCCTAATCTATATTTCCTCTATGTTCTTTCTAGTCATAATTCTTAACACTAAAGATGGGCGATCAGGCTACAGAAATCTAAAGCCCAAGCAACATCACAAAATTTTTAGAATGTATTTCATCAGGCTATGACTATTACAAAAATAAGGCCCTGTGAGATCCAACCTCAATTTAGGAGAGATATTAAAATATTTCAGGGCATAAGGCTCGTGGATTAAAACCACCTTTCAGATGGTATTTGCTGCCCTTCTTTTAATTTTGCTCAGTGTTATTTTATCTAAACTTTATACTTGATTATTCTTCCCAATTATGTAAGTCTAGGAACTGAACCCCAGCCAACATTATGCTTGCTCAACAGATTGGATTAGTCACCTATGCCTTTCCAGAAAAAGATACTCTTTAAAGGAAAACTGAACATCCCCAACGAGTGCTCACTGATGGTCCTCTCCCTCTCTCTCTCTCTCTCTCTCTCTCTCTCTCTCTCTCTCTCTCTCTCTCTCACCCCCTCTCTCTCTCTCTCTCTCTCTCTCTCTCTCTCTCTCTCTCTCTCTCTCTCTCTCACACCATCTTGTTGTCCATAATTGACCTGGGACATCTTTTCTCTCTGATGTTACCTTTACCTCTCCCTCCTCCATGGGACGTGAGCCTTCCTAGCAACATGCAACAATGCCCTGAATGTAAGAGTCATTTTAAACATACTTAAATTCACAACAGACATGCATGAGCAACGATTTCTACAAAGTAACTTGCTGAGAGGGGGGAATGATAAGGAAAAATTGTGAAAAGTCCTAAATTAAGTGACATAAGGGCAGGAAAATAAGGGAGACAAGGGAAGGTCATCGGTCAATAGCCATGGGCCGTAGTTAACCAAAAACTCCACATTCCTGATTGAAGTTATATCAGCAATAATCTGGAAGTCCCCAGGACTGCCCCAGCCCCCTTGCATGTGACCAGTGTCTGACCTTAATCAACAATCAATCCACGTGGTCTAACCACCTCTCCCAGGACTTGCCCCACTTCTTGTTAGCCCACCTTCCTTATCTGTAGCCGGTGGGAATTTAAAGAAAACTTTCTTTCCCAGAAACCCCTCAGAAATGTGCCCCATTTATTGAGTCTGGTAGACAAGCTTTGTCTGTGAACTGGCCTTGCTGCTAGTGAAGCAGAAACTTCCTCTCCCAGAACTCAGTCCTTTTCCAGCTACATCTGTAAAGGCTCAATAAGCCATTTATTTCAGAGATCTCTCTGTCTCTAGAGTACTTGATTTGTCATGGTCAACCTTGAAGCTTCAAATATGCATATTTTACAAAACCTTTTCCTTCTCCCTTCTAAAAAAATGTACTTAGTGTAAGAGGAAACATTAGACCCTGCCACACACAGACACACAGTCACTCCACTGGCTGCGTTCATGCTGCCAACTTTCCTCCTAGAGCCCTGCCCCCTCCCCCCTACACCATCTCACCCCATCCCTGCTTCATCCATTCAGTAAATATATATTGAGAGCTTATGTTTCTGATATATACCAGTGAAAGACAGAAAGAATTTGCTTGGGAGCCATAAGTCACAGAGAGCCCTTATGGCAAGGCAGAGTCCCTGTACCCAAAGGTGCATGGTACATGGCTGGCTCCAGCCATGGGCAGCCCTCCAAATGGAGGCACCATTCTAGGCACTGGGAACTGAGTCCTGGGTTTATCCTCCCATGATACGTGCATTCCAGTGGAAAGAAGTAGACAAAAGAAGAAAACACATAGAAATACATATTTTCAGATACTGGTAAGTGCTCTGGGAAAGAGGGAACGCTTAGGGTTGGGTAGTCAAGGCAAGTCTCTCTGAAAAGGTGGTCTGACACTGCAATTTTGAGAAGGAAAATTTCTCAAATCAAGTGAGTTTCTGGGGGAGCAGAATAGGGAGGAATAGGGAGTGCATGCAGAGACCCTGACCTAGAACATACTTACATTCTTGAGGAATGCAAAGAAGATACGTGTGGCTGGAGTATAGTAAACTAGGAGGAAAACACTCAAATATTAGGTGAAAGGAGTGGGCTCTGTGTGTGTATGCACATGCGCGTGTGTACTAGAATTTATCTCTGCACTGTTTGACAGTAAGTTGCATACATCATGCCCCCTGACCCCTTAATACTTCACTGTGTATTTCCTAAAAACAAGAATATTGTCCTACACAACCACAATACAGTCATCAATTTGGGGAACTTTAACGCTGATACATTTATCTAATCTACAGTCTTTATTTCAATGTAAGCATTACTCCACTAATGTTCTTAATAGCCTTCTTTTCCTGATAGAGGGTCCAGTCCATAATCACAGACAGCATTTAATTTAATCTTTAGTCTCCTTTAATCTAGATCAATTCCTCAACCTTTTCTTGTCTGTTAAGATACTGGTATTTTAAAAGAACACAGATTAGTAGTTTTATAGAATTGTCTTCTATTTGGGTTTTTCTGATGTCTTTGTAGTTACATTCGGGTTACACAACTTTGGCTAGAATGCCACATATACAATTAATTCAGAGTGTTGCTGGGGAGGAAGAAATTTCCTCTACCCCTGGAGGTTCTCTGCTGCACTCAGTTTCCATTTGAATGTAGCTCTCTGTGGGACAGCTCTCCTGGAGCAGGGCCTCTACCCAAACTGTTTTTCTGAAGATGTGGGTGATGGGGAAGTCAAAGTTTGTTTCTTGGTCTTTTGGGCCTTGATTGTTCTCAGTTCTGAAATAATATGGACATCAATATGGCACATCTTGGGGCAGCCTTGAATTCCCCCTTCTTGCAGGCTGTTGTGTTAGTGAAAACTGCAATGCAAACTATATTCACTTAGTTTAGTGAATGGGGAGCAGAAACCACGGTGGGAAATGGCAATGTTTGGGAAACCGTGTCCCGTCCCGTAGGAAGCAAAGGACTCTGAGCACAGCACAGCTATACAGCTTAGCAGGATTTGAGCAGAGGTCAGGGAACAAAATGTCCATGTTTAAGCATAAATTCAGACTGCTGTAAAACTAATGGTTAAATGTTAAAATGGTTAAGTGTTAAAAAAAAAAACAACTAATTGTTACTTGAGGGGTTATTTGAGCAATTGCAACCAAGAGTATCTGAGGCAAAGAAGAGGGCAGCAGAGGTGAACTGACGCCTCTGTGCCTCCCTCCTGGGGAAGGCCATAGAGAAGCAGGCTGCTGCTGGGCCACACCTTCTGTTTTTAAGGTTCTTCATTCTTTACGTGCTTGGGCCAAGCACCTTGGAGTCATCCTCAACGCCTCACATCCCATTTCTCCAGCACAGTCCTATTAATTGTATCTTCATGTGCACCCAGAGCCCAGCCACGTCTCACCATTTCTATGCCATCAACATCATCATTGCATTACCTCAAAGGCCTGCTAACTGGTCTCCCTGCTTCCCCCCTTGCCCTTACCATCTATGGTCAACAATTCAACAGCAAGAGAAGTCCTTCTAAACCCTGCAATGGCTTCCCCTCTTACTCAGAAAAAATCCACAGCCCTTACAATGAATGACCTGCCAGGCCCTACATGATCTGCCCTGCACCCCACCTGTATTAGGGTTCTCCAGAGAAACAGAGACACTATGTGATAGATTTTATAAGCATAGATAATCTATTTGATTATAGCTAGTTATGTATTTCTAATTGTATATATTATATATATTTTATATATATAAAGAGATTTATAATAAGGAATTGGCTCATGTGATTATGGAGGGTGAGAAGTCCCACAATCTCCCATCCGAAAACTGGAGATGAAGGAGAGCCAGGGGTGTTAAGTTCCAGTTTGAGCGAAAACTTGCATTCCAGCTCAAATCCAGGCAAAGATCCCAAATTCTTTCTTACCCTACTTTGTTCTATTCAGGCCTCTGCCAGATTGAATAAGGCCCACCCACACTGGGGCAGGCACCCTGGTTTACTTGTCTACTGATTCAGATATTAATCTCATCCAGAAACACCTTCACAGACACACCCCGAATAATGTTTAACCAAATGTCTGGATATCCCAGCCCAGCAACATTGGCGCATGAAATTAACGACACACCATCCCAAGTCATTTTTCTTCTGCCCACTTAAGGGGCACTCACTGCATCAGGCAGAGCACTAAGGGCTTTACAATTATCCATCCTCATAAAAAGCCTGTGAGGTAGATATTATCATTACCCTCATTTTGCAGATGAGAACCTAGAGGTGTTGCTGGGACAAATAACTTGCTTAAGTC